ATTAAATTCACAAATTATAATTTTTTTTATTTGTTGAACCTTGAAAACTTTATTCATGTGGTGTCATTGCTTTTTTTTCTTAATTTAACAAGTATCTAGAATTTACCATATTTCTAAAAATATTAATGTAATGTTATTAAAAAATTTTCAAAAGGATTTTTTAATATGCTTTATAAAATGGCTAAACAGAAATTTTAACTTACAATTGAATTTTAAATTCATTTTTAGGAAAGTAATAATATCAAATTCATTATTAGACAGCAGACATCTAGGCCCTTATAAGTGGCATTTTAAACACTTAAAATAAGCTCTTAAATTGTGTTGTTTAAGCTTTATAAACAAAAAATAGGTAGTCAAAATTTGCACAATGAACAATTAATGTACTTATCAGGAAGATGAATTTTTTATTTAACATATATATTCCAAATAAAAATGTACGTATTCAGAATGATGCAAACACAAAAGTAGACAAACAATTATCTTTACATTTTTTTATTCACTCTGTTTCCCATAGTTAGCTTTATAATATATTACAAGCACTTTTTCCAAATTTTCAATAGAAAAGTTGCAAAGTTTAATTGATGTACACACACTCAGCAATAGTATATAAATCAAAAAAACACAACACCTTAATTTGCTGAGAAAAAAAAAAAATTTAATGTAAAGCTAACGTTTTCAGCCAAATCAGTTTGGCTGAAAACGTTAGCTTTACATTAAATTTTTTTTTTTTTCTCAGCAAATTAAGGTGTTGTGTTTTTTTGAGTTGCAAAGTTTGTCACTGAGAATTAATTTATACACAGAGAAAGAGTGTTCTACATCTACTGAAGATAATGAACAGTATTTCAACCTTGGAAGAAGATGAACTGGGAATTCACTTTCAGTTTTGCTCTTCTTTCCTGCCAAAATATCAGCCACAACAAATAAGCACTTTAATCCAAGTCTCTTTTGAAGCATTCTTTCTTCACTTTTTTTGCAGCAGTGCCTGGTGCATCACAAAGTTTCTGGTTTGCTCTGTTGAGGAGATCAATTTGTTCATATGTAGGTTTCCCACTACTTTCAAGAGCAGTAATATTATCTGCAATGAATGTGAAATAACACTTGATGTACACCAACTTGTTCTGAACATAAATGTCATTCAAAATTTTCTTGGCTTTAGTTACACAAACTGCATTTTCCGCTAAAGTGGCCAGAAGTTTATTGATATCAAAGAAATGTTCACTGTAGTAGTTAGTACAAAATCTTAGCCATGTATATGCTAAGGGAAAAATAGGCATTTGCCTAAAATTTGCTGTCTAAAAATGACAAATAAAGCATCTCTAATGCTATATTTATTAAATAAAAGCATTTATTTAAAAATATTTCTTATAGTTTTAAGTTTATTACTATAAAATTGCATCAGGGGATGTAATTCATTTCTGTTATTATTGCATTCTAATTTTTTCTGCTTGGAATATGCATCCACTGGGACTTAAATACAAATAATCAATAATAATAATAAAATGAATTTGTCTGATTGCATTTTCATGAAAAAAATGAAACTTAAGCAGTTTAATTTAAGAATTAAAGTAAACCTTTGCGGAAAATGAAACAAAAAATTAATAAAAACTTTTTAAAAATATGAAAACAGATTAAACTTTGTGTTTTAGGCAAAAATAGGCAGCAACGTCAAAGTAAGCATTTTTAGGCATTATAAAATACCATTGTTTCGGTCTAAATGTTTATGAAATGTGTTCATACAAAATCTTAGCCATGTATATGCTAAGAAAAAAAATAGGCATTTGCCTAAAATTTACTGTCTATTCATTATATAGATCTATCGTTATTAATGCTATTTTAAGAGTTTTCATACTTAAATGTATAAATTTAAACTTCATGACTTCTTTATCATATAAAAACTATTTTGTAGGGATATAGGAAGTACTGAACATAAAAGATATAAGTTAAAAATAGTTTTAAAGTTAGTCAAAAAGTTTTAATATTTACAAAATATTTGTGTAAGAAGTGTTTATAATATAGGTAATTACTTCAAGTCCATGAAGAAAACTGAACTTCTTTATTTAAATTATTGATTTAAGTGATATGTTTATACCAGTAATTGTTGTTATTAAAATAAAGCTTAAAATTTCTTGAATTTGTTTACTTTATTCAGTAATAATTATTTCTTCATTTAATTGCACTTCACTTTTCAATTTCTCAGATATATCATCCCTTAAAGTATTTTTAAGAGCTAATCTTATGTTTTCTAATCATTACAAAACTATTTCAAAGGAAAATCAAAACATTTCAATCAAAACATTTAACTCCATGTCTAAATGGAGTTAAATGTTTTGATTGAAAATATTCTACTATATAGTAAGAACCATAAATTCTCAAGATTTAGACAAGTTATATTAATTATGGAATATATGTAAGTTATTGATGAACAGGGCCTTTTTACAGCTGGAATTCAGTGATATGCTGTACTGACAGATAGCATAAAAACATATCAATAACCAGTACATAGTACCTACAATTGCACATTAAAAACAAGGAGTACTGAGAGTAATTTTTTTTAAAAAGAGCACTGCTGATAAATGAAAAAAATTGTTCATTGAGTTGGTTAAAAAATCTGCAGAACTTTTATACTCACCTAATATATATTAAGTTATGCCCTTCAATTTTATAAAAACTATCATCAGATTACATCAAAAAGTAAAATAAAATGGAATAAATTTTCTTTGTTTTGTTAAAGCAGTCTGTTTCTGTAAAAGACAGTATTTTTGTTAAACAGAGAGAAAATTTATTTTATGATTATTTGATTCACAGGTTAATATTAGATAACATGATTAGATGATACTATGTATTTTCTAAGAAAAGGAAACTGAGCTCCTCAGCATAGATTTTTGTTTCAGCTTGACACAAAAACACAACTGTGGTGATATGTTTCTAATGTTCTGTCTAAAAGTTTATAAAATCCACAAATATGAGATGTGCATGTCCATTGTCATAGCAACAAAAATATTTAAACACCCATATGTACTATATAGCTAGTAGCCTACCAACTCCAATAACTGTTTAAAACATTCATATGCAGCTGCAGGACACATATTTGCAAGTTTTTAAAAGTTAATTTTGTCACATCATCAAGCATGTTAAATACCTGTCATAAAGATTAAAATAAAAAGTTGTTGTAGAGATCAACATAAATTAACAGTAATCGTAAACTCCATTGACAAGTGTGCACAAAAACCAGCAACCTCCCAATAGAGTTTACATGGAGAAATTTAACCTGGAATATCTCAGTCCATTGATTGAATTTCAAAATTCTGGCCTTGTCAAGGCCAATGTCTTGATGAAGTCTTCAGTTGTACATATTTACAAGAAATATGTTAAATGGGTAGTGACTGATTTTAACTTCAATCACAGACAAAACACTTTCTGACTTATGAAGAGCTCTGCTTAATTAACAAAAAAGAAAGAAAATTTATTTCATGATTATTTTTTAATATTTGATTCACAGGTTAATATTAGATAACATGATTAGATATCATTCCTAAGCATGAATTGAAACTTGATAATAAATGTACGTAGTTTCAATTATGATTAGGAATGATGATTCAATTATGATTATCTTGATGTTAATCTTATGGTACAAATCAGTTTATTTTTCCATGTTCTGTTTCATAAATTTCATAAATTAAATTTTTGATACTTATTTTCAAATGCATCTTAGCCACTCAGCAGTGAGTGACGAATATATTCATCAAAGGTGATCGTGTGGCAGTGGTGAGGGACAAATATATTTGTCAAATTCTTTTGAGGGGTATTGCCAAAAACTAGCCTAAAACTACCATGAAAAATGAATTATGTAACAATAAAAAAAGACTTTTCTTTACTAGACATAACTGTTTACAAAATCTTTTTTTGAAACAGTTATGAGAAATAACGCATGAAAAAATACTCTAAAAATTTTGCACGTTTATTCTCCACTACTAAACAGTAGCACCATACCTGACTATTCCATTTTTGAAAGGTTAATATTTTGAGTTTTACAGTTATAATGAAATATTACAGTAATACCCCGAACTTACGCAATAGGTGGGACCGAGCGATAACTGTGTAAGTTGGGGTATAATTTCGCATATAAATACATACAAATAATTTTTAATTGGGGCCGAAGACTAAAGAAAAATATAATTTAGAAAAAAATGATTAATAAAATCTTAGATAATACATGTGTAGCCTATAACAAATTATATTATTATACAATTTTTCACATTTACTTGATTATCAGACCGTAATTTTAACATTGTTTCCATCTCAGGGATAATACTGTGACGTTTACGAATGATGCTTGAATTTAAAGATTGAGCATTTTTTACAGCTTCATGAATTCTTTCTTTATCTTTTATAATTGCTCTGACTGTCGATTCCGGTAGATCAAACTTCTTTGCCATTTCACAAATTTTAATTTTTGTATTGAAGTCTTTAATAATGTTAACTTTACATCCCAAAGATAAAGTTTTTCTTTTCTTGTCTGATGCAGAAGAATCAGTTCTACTTCGTTTGGATGACATAGTAGAGTTTCTCGAGTCTCCGTAGATATAACAAACACAGAAATAAATAACAAAATAAATTGTAGCTATATGTCGATTCTGCGCAACACGTCCGAACATGTAAGCCAAACAATAGTGTGGGAGGAGTGAGTAATCGAGAGTTGCATGGCGCTCAAACAAAAGATGAATCGACGAGATTTGAAAATCGCGTAACTCCGGGTTCACTTAAGTTGGGGTAGCGTAAGTCGGGGTATTACTGTACATGTTTTATTCAGTTTTGCAATGTTCCACATAATTTTAAGGACATTAAATCTATACTGCTGGCCAAGTAAAATGCAACACCATGTAGGCCTCTAGATATTGCAGGTATTGCATTTTACTTGGTTAGCATGTATAATAAGATTAGATTTAATTGTACTTTAAAAAGCAAAAAATATATTATCTAATTATTTTCCTTTTAATTAGGTATGTTCCTGTTACATGGCTACAAAGTACAAAGTTGTACTGTTTCAGGGAAAAAGAACACATATGAAGCAATCCCACCAGAACCACGACTAAAACATTTGTACTTCTTGGCTGATACAGAGAATGATAAAAAGAGGTGGTGTGTTTTCTCTGTTTAAAATAATAGTAATAATTTTATTCATATAAATGATTTAAAAATTTTTTCATATACTTTTACTGTAGAAATAAATTTTCTGTATATTTCATATTATGGTAATTAAAATGAATAATTATCATAATTATTCTCTGTTAATGCAGTGGAGCAATATTTTTGTTTCACATTTGCGTATCTCTATTGTTATAAGTTGTTTTACAATTTGTCTCCAAATATTACTATTCCTTTTAATTAGAGATGGGCAAATATCACTTTTCTAAAATTCAAATACTAATTCAGAGGTTGCTCTAGAAAATTATAGAAAATTGTCAATCATTTCACCAGTTTTTAAATTTTTTTCACCACTTCAAATTATTGCCACCAGTTAATTAATGCAAGTGCTGGTAGCCTTATCAGTTTTGCATCTGAAAAGCAAAAGTAACATGCTAACTGTTGCTTATAAATTAGCAATAGGAATAATTTTTGAATAACTTTTTAATGAATAATTCCAAATAATACATTTGATCACAATGTTTAGACAGACATGACACAAATATTTCACATATTCTGTCATGTCAAAATTTTTGTTTTAGTCTACTGAAAAAAGATCAAAGTGAAAAGAAAAGTCACTACAAAAAATTTCCTAAAATTTTCTGTCAGTCGATAAAAAATCCCTAGTCTGGAAATGCTGGGCACCCTTGCACAAAAACTGCCATTGGTTCTCAACATCACTTTCTTCCCAAACTTGCTGCGAATCACTGTGTGCGTGTGTGTGGTACATGGGACTCCCATTGTACAGGAACTAGACATTCTGTTGTCTTTTCTGAAGTGTGCTTTGTGATTCAATTTCACATTGAATGTCAAAATAAGTGGACTAGGGTTTTTATTGCCACTTGCTATCACCAGTATTACATTTTTATCATTACTTAAAATAAAAATATTGCCAAGTGGCAATTTTGGCACTATGTAGCATGACCCTTGCTAACTAGATCTGAAATATTTCAAATACTTAATGAACTTAATTATCTTATATCTTTATTTAGTTAATAATTTATTTAATATTAGCAGATGAGCCTGACATTGCTTGGGCAAAAAGTAACTATAGTGAAGATTAAGATTATTACATTACAGCCAATCTTACCCATTTTCACAGAATGCAAGAATTAGGTTTCCCTGTTTCCAGACTAATTAGAAAATTTTTAGATGGGTCTAAAATTATGTTCAGTTTAATGCAAAAAACCACATCTGCACCTGTAAATCTTGCACGTTGCTTTCTCTTAACACTTCCATTGTTGAAGCCTTAATCCTGTCCCTTTCCCTGCAGGGGGGAATTTCAAAAAATCCCTTGTTAGTGTGCATTCTCGTGACGTACCCTAACTATGTACCAAATTTCAAGTTTCAACTCCTAACCATGCTGAAATGCTCATATACATGCGTGCCATCTATCTTAGGATAAATGTACTATGCCAGAAACCTTCACAGGAGTGTATTAAACAACTTCCCAAAGTTTCATGGCAATCGGATAAATGGTGTAGTAATGTATGAAGGACAGACAGACATACATTCATTTTTATATATATAGATTTATTATTTAACTTGTTTTATTTATTTCAGTATCTTAATTAATAAATTAATAAATGAAAGAAAAAATAAAAAGAAAAAAGAATTTGAAGTTTCACTTCTTAAAATTTAATAACCTTTTAATTTTAACTTTTGAGTTTTAAAGTAACTTTTTAGATGCTCTTATCTAATAAATTAAAAAATAATTGTTCCCATTCTCACTTAATACAGATTTTTATTTAAGATGACAAGAATTTAAAAATTAGACTAGATTCTTAATGTTTTTGAATGTTAAAGATCAAATATGCTTCTTATCTTAAACTAGAACACAAATTAAACCAGAGGTGCTGAAGATTTTCTATCTGTACACTGGAATACAAGCAAATACAAGGGAATACCATTGACACAAAAAAATTAAAATTTATTTGTTAAAGTTTAAAATGCAGTTTTCAGAAAAAATTTATGATGGAAAATGTGGTTTATTGTTTTATCTGCAACACAATTGTTATGCATGTCTTAATAACAGGTACTTATTAATTATTCAAATATTTTTAATTTTTAGCCCGAGTAATTCTGGATCTGTCTCTATGACTACCTATGATGCATTATTGGAGGTATTTGTAGTATTCAAATTTATTTATCAATGTAATGTTCAAGATTTACAATCTTGAATATTACAGTACTAGAATATTTGAATACTTGAATATTACAATTGAATACTAGGAAGTATTTTCCTAGTATTTGCAATTTATTCTTATCTACTTTCAATAGCAAAACATATCATTACCTAAATTTGTTATGGAGTTTCATTTATAAATTATTTCCTTTCTAATAAAAATAATAAATACTGTAGTATAAAAATAATAAAAACTTTTTATTTAGAGAATGTAGTTGGAATTTTTAGAATGCTTTCTTTGTTCTATTCTTGCACTCCTCTCTTTACATTTTCAGAATTAAATGGCATTAAATTAATCTCAACAAGTGTATTTTATCTCAGAGAGAGAGGATTAGTAGTAAATTATTGGCTAATGATTGGTGAAGCAATCATAATGTAGTATTTTGTAATAGCAAGCAAAATAAATGAAGAATGTTCTTTAACAAATGCTTATATCTAAAACTATTCCAATGTCAAATTCTTAATGATTTTAATATAAAATTCATAATGGTTCTTAATTATTATTATAAAATAAAAAAATAAAAAAAAAGAAATTTAGAAGATAGTACCCACCCATTGTTAGCAATGTCATTTGAGTCTTAATTTGAGAAAAATCAGTTTGGAATTTTTGATAATAATCAGATTTATAAATCAAGTCTACTCAACCATTGACCACTTCAACTTCAAAAACAGATGTACAACAAAAGGATGTTACTACTCTTTACAATACAGTGATACCCCGAACTTACGCGATAGGTGGGACCGAGCGATAACCGCATAAGTCGAATTCGCGTAAGTCGGGGTATAATTTTGCAATTTGTATAAAACCCAAGTCGGATTTATGTAAGCTAATAAATGTTCTCGTTAATCTTATCTCGTCTTTTGATTCATTCACGGTTACAAGAAATCACCACATAGAGTCTCTCAAGTCTCCGTAGATATAACAAACGCAGAAATAAATAACACAAAATAAATTGTGGCTATGTGTCAGTTCTGCGCGACATGTCCGAACATGTAAGCCGAACAATAGTGTGGGGGGATTGAGTAATCAAGAATTGCTTGGCGCTCAAACAAAAGACGAATCGACGAGATTTGAAAATCGCATAACTCTGGGTTTGCGTAAGTCGGGATAGTGTACGTCGAGGTATTACTGTATTAAAATTTAAAAAATTTGTTAAAAGCTGTAATCAGTGTGGTGGCATCAGTAAACAAAAAATCCAACTTTGATTCCTACCTTGCCCTTTTTTAAAATGTTACACTGTGATTTCTTTTATAATAAAGATACCACTAGGTATTTAAATACAGTGGTGCTTCGTATAACGTACTTAATCCGTTCCAAGTGCACGTCCGTTAAGTGAAAAGTCCGTTATATGGAAAGCATTTTCCCATAGAAATACATGTTAAAACATATAATTTGTTCCGCAGCATAAAAAAACCATACTGTACCATAAAAAAAATGAAAATGGAGCAGTCACCAATTATGCCGGGTAGTCAGATGTTGTGAGGAGGAGGTGGAGGAACACTTTCTTCACACATTCATACAAATACAGACTTTTTACACATTGCAGCAGGTCTCTTTTTATTGTTTTTTAATCGGAGTCAGATTCAGGAGAGGCTACTGGAGCTTGCAGGGTCATCTCCTCTTGTTCCATCCTTTGTTTTTTGGCAGCTTGCTTCTTGAAAAACATGTCCAAAGTGGTCAACTCCTCTTGTTCCATCCTTTGTTTTTTGGCAGCTTGCTTCTTGAAAAACATTTCCAACGTGGTCTGTTTCTCTCTCTTCTTCAACACCTGTTGGAAATGACGGGCGAGGGTGTCATTGTAGAGATCATTGATCCTGTTGGCCTCAGCTCTGTTTGGATAATGAGTGTTGGTAAACTCCTGAACCTCTCCCCATTCGACAAGGAAGTTTCTGTCAACTTTCATTCTTTCTGATGATTTCTTTGCTTTGTTTCAATTGAAATCACCTTTCTGTTTTTTTAGAAGCCATGATTTGCACAACACTTGAATAAATGTAAATACCCTGCACCAAGGTGATGTACGTAATAAACAAGGGAGCAAGCCGAATCCCAACGGGAGCTCTGTACTTCAGATATACTAATAATATATTCTAATAACACTAGTATATTATAAAAATAGCAGATTGTCATTGGCAACAGCAAAAGTGTGGAAACATCATTTGCACTTGTTCGCAGAAAGTCCATTGTTCGCCTCACGTAACTGCCGAACGGAAAATTCGTTGTTTGCAGCCAGTCCGTTGCTCGAGTCACGTAACGGCCAAACAGAAAGTCCGTTGTTCTCAGCGTCCGTTATTCGAGGCGTACGTTATACAAGGCACCACTGTATTTTTATCTAAAATTTCTGTATAAAAAGTCATACTAAAGTTGTTGGTGAGAATCAAAAAAATAGATATGAAGAATTTATTTTGGAAAAACTTTTGAGTACATAAAGAAACACTACATCTTCATAGCTAAAAGAATTCCACTTTTATTAGTTAATTATGAAAAATTGATTTAAATTTAATTATTTTCAAGAAAAAAAATTAAATATGATAAAACACAAAAAATAATGATTTGGTGAATGACCTAATTTATTCATCCAATTTACCATCAAATCATTATTTTTTAATTTTATTTATTTTTTAAATTGGTCCATAAAAGTTTCTCCCACTCTGGCTACAACAGAAATAGTTAATTTTCTACCAACAGTTGGCTAAACTTAAACCAGTAAGTAATAAGCTGAAACAATGCTTAATTACATTTTGCAGTTTTTTCTTCTTCTTTTAGTTCATTGAAGTTAGATTCTGATCTTGGTTTTACTTTTTTCATTGCTTTTCTATTGATTGTTTTAAGACCAAACTGTATTATCAAAACTATAATAAATAGTCATAAATAACTCAAAACCAATAGAAGGACTGTGAAAAAATTAATTAGTCAAATTAGTCAAAAAATAATTTATATCCAAAGTAAAATATCTGAGGTGTAAAAAATATTGCACTAAGTAAAAATTATGGTCTCGAAATGAGAGTCAAATTTTTTCTCAAGAGCTTCTCATTGGTAAAGATAAGCTTGGTGCTTCAAAGCAATACTATAAGCATTTACTTTACAGAATATTTACATTTTACATATATATATATATGTAAAATGTAAATATTCTGTACTTTCAGAAAATTGTTTTTATTAATTTAAGGCCCACCAGTGGCTGAGTGGATAAATCCACTGAATACTTGTAGTTAGTCATGGGATTGCACCTGGAAAGTAAATGCTTATAGTATCACTTTGAAGCACCAAGCTTATCTTTATTAAACATATATATATATGTTTGGCTGATGCTGATCAAACTATAGACTGAAAATATTTTTATAAAATCAAATTTTGATTATGTTAAATAAGCAGTTTGTGAATTTTTTTATTTAACTGTAATATGAGTTTGTTATTTAAAAACCTACAGTACTAATTTTGTCATCTTTTAGCGAATCTTGAGTTAAATTTTGGTTATGCATCTTTTTGTCCAGTCTCTTGAGAAATATATAAATGAGGCACACCTGAATTTTTTTTTAATATTAAAAAGTAAATATCAATCAATCAATCAATCAATCAATCAATCAAATATTTTTATTTGTATTAAGGCTAAGCCTTGTTACAGGGGGTATTTTTCCAATGATATATTAATATACATTTGTTATCTATCACTCGTTTAATATACATCATCTTCAAAATCATCAATATTATTACAATAACCGTTTAATAGTAAATTCTGTCATTATTTATCTTTTAAATATTTTACTTTAAGTAACATAGTCAATAAAAATCAATTTCAGTTTTATTAATTTATTACATATTTTTTAGTTCTTTGACAATTTAATTAAAAAAAACCATTAATACATTTGATTTAACATAAGGTTGTTTAATTTAGTTCTAAAGTCTTGATTTTGTTTCATACATATTAGTTCTTTAATTTCATATTTTTTGATGATATTTCTTTAGTCCTTCACAATCTCTTAGTAAATGGTTCAAAGAATAGTCTCTGGAGTTAAAATCACCAAATAATAATACATATGGAGAGATATTTTTCCATTTTTCGAGATTTTTGAATATTTCATTTAGTAAGTCTATCTGGTCAGGCTGAACGTAAACTAACACCATAATAATTAACTTTTTGTATAAATGTTTCATTTCAGTATTATCAATTTGTAATAAGATTAGAATATAATTAGTTGCTTTTTGTATAAATTTTACGGAACCAATGTTTTTTCTTACTATTAGACAAAGTCCTCCATGCGGTCTCCCAGGTCCTATTGGTTTCTGTGCGTCAGAAGATATAATTGTATATTCCATTCTATTTTTTATAATTTCATTAACTGGTGTGACTAGCCAGGTTTCAGTTATACCCAAGATATCAGTATTATATAGTAGTTGAAAGAAATCTTGAGTTTTTATTCTGTGGATTAAGCCTTAACAGTTCCAGTTTGTGATATATAAGTTAAGATTATTTGAAATTTTAATATGTTGATCCTTTTCACATTCTAACTCTGAATTAATTATGTTATTGAGTTTTTCTGTAGAGAATACTTCAAAAAATCATCAGCGTATACTAATTGATCTTGGATCAATTATGTGTAATTTTTTGACGATTAATTATCAGATAGTCATCACACAGTTTTAGTTGTAATCCTTGTTTCTTAAAATCTATATAATATTGTAAAAGTTTTTTTCTTCTTTTGCGAGAATCTTTATTTAAATCAGTTGACATATTAATTTCTTGCCAATTTCCCAGTGTCTTGTTATATTTCAATTTATTAAAGGCTGCAAGGATTCTATTTCTTAGTTGGTTTGATTTTAATACTATGCACTTAATTTGAATATTTGAATTAGGTATTGAATATATATTTACTATATCTTCTGATTCGCTGCAAATTATTTTTAAAGTATTAGAAAAAAATGTTGCTAATTCATTTTTAGTAATATTTTTAAGCTGATTTGTATAATCATAAATTATAATTTTATTATTATTCATAGTGTTAGTCATAGTATCCAGTTTATATTGAGTTAATTCATTTTCTAGTCTTAGTTTGGTAAATTCATTTTCTATTTTATCATTTCTTATCCTTATTTGTTGAATTTGATCATTTTGTCATTTTGAATTATATTAATTTCTTGTCTTATAAGTGAAAATTGACTCACCCACTTATCATTACTATTAGTTATCAGTTCAACTATCTTCTTCCATAATTCTGCTGTTGAAATGTCTATTTGTTCTGCAGGTAATTGCTCTTGTGAGGAAGTTAAATTAATTAGCTCACCTGTTTTAAATAATGATTCGGCTCTTCTAGGTTCAGTATAATCAGTGATAAGGTTTGAATCTGGTTCCAATGGTTTAATACTATCAGTCAGCAATTTTTGACAAGTAAGTAGTGGCCTTCCTATCTTTGTTGGAGTTTTCTGTAAGGGATCGGGATTTGGTTCTATTCCAGCAATCAATAGCAATAAAATAAGAAGCTTAATGTTATTCCTTTTAGTCGAAAATAATTTAAAATTCTTGATTACTTGAAAAATTAGACTAAGTATGGAAATAAGAAAATATTCACGCAATCGGTTTGACGATCGGAGCGCTCCCCCCATTAAAAAGTAAATATTGATTAAAAGTGTTTTTTTATTTTGTGTTTTTATATCAGGCATGCAATGCCATAATGTTGTAAATGCCAAAAAAACAAACTTTTCAGGAGATAGAAAAAACACTTTTTCTAGTGAATGGATTCCTTCAAGACACGAAGGAATTCATTTCAATTTTACAATAAAATGGTAAAAAACCTCACTGGGTTACAAATTCTCTGGAATAACAAAACGATGTAAACAAAAGACAATATGACATTTCATACTTCATATAGAGAATAGTGAGACAGTTAGTTATAGGCTTCTAAATTCTAAATAAAAAAATAATAAATGTTAAATAGAATTTATAACAATATATTATCATCAATTGTGTTTTTATTATTTATTTACTGATCATATTATTAAGCTTTCTGTAATATTGCAAATTGTTCCATATAAATTTCATATAAAATATACAAGAATTTGATACAATAAAACAATTTGAGTTTTTATTTTATGAAGAAATCTAGGATTCTATTGTCCATTTTTTCTGAAGTGCAGTGTATTAAAAAAAATTTTTGTTTGGAATCTCCTGATGGGGATTAACCCTGTATCTGTAAAGAAATTGAATTGAAAAATAATATATTTCAATACTTTTGAACTTAATAATGATCTAGATATACACATATTACAATATAACAATTGCTTTTAACCCAGCTCTTATTTTTAACTAAATATAAAATACCTTACCACTGGGGTAGTTAAATCACTTTACTAAATGCTTTTCAGCTCTATTTATGAGCCTTCATCAGGTAAATAGTGTTTGAATTCAGAACAACTTAACACCAAACATTTCTTTACAAATTTAAAATGGAATTAACATTAAGAATATAATTAATAAATTTAAAAAAAATTTTTGACATTAAATTAAACTCTTAAATTACTATAATAACAATAAACTCTTTCAAAAAATTAATACAATAACCTAACTAGTTAAAATTTAAGATTGACAACTGCCCAATATTGATGCACGTGTTACAAGGTGTTATGTTGTTCTGAATTCAAACACTGTTTATCTGATGTGGGCTCATAAATAGAACTGAAAAGCATTTAGTAAAGTAATTTAACTACTCTAGTGTTAATGTGTTTTATATTTAGTTATACAGTATTACATATATTTCATATATATTACATATATTTGGTCAATTTTTCACAAAATTTCATTTGTTGGCAGATTACCATTTGATAGTCAGCTGTGAATAGGACAGTTTGTTAGAGCTAACATTAGAAAAAATATATCATATCTTAAAAAATTTAAGATATTGTATTTTCAATTGCAGTTTACTTGATCAATGAACCTATTAAAAAAGATTAAGAGTATTTACTCTCAACTTTTTATAATTACCAAAGTCATTTTAATAATTGACCAATGAAATTGTGCTATTTCGTACCATCCGAATATCGTGATAAACATGACAATGGTAGGCTAAAATAACCAAACTCTTTATATTGTTTTTGTTTTAATGTCTGTTATATTGTAGTATTTGATTTATTTAACTACAAAGGTTATCTTACGTAATGGTTTATCACACCAAGTTACCAATTCTTTATTCCTCTACTGCACACAGTTTAAAGAATTTTTTAAATTTGTTAGATTGATCACTTGGTATGATAAACCCTTACATAAAATAACCTTTGTTGTTATATATATCAAATACTATACTATAATATAATAGAAGGGTTAGAAGTACAAAAATTATTAGAATTATTAGAAATAATCTAATAATCTTAATCTTTGTTCTTATTTTTTGCCCAGGCAACACTCGGTTTACCTGCTAGTATTCAAATAAATAATAATCTATATGTTTTCCATTAATCTGTTATAATGCTTTATAAATTATCAAATGAAATTATCAATATAGTTATATTTATATTTTCTATATTTTTGTGCTTTTGTAATTTGATTATAGTCTAATATAATCTTATTTTGTATTTTTATTTTAGATGGTTAGCTGCATTTGAATATTCAATTGACAGATGGATAAAAGTAGGCTAATAAAGAGAATTGAAAGAAATTCCTGATATTTCTCTCAAAGAATATTGTCAAATAGCAATCTGTAGTATGACCAATCTATTGACAATATTGGAAAAGTGGATCGATTTGTTCAGTAAAGTGCCAAAAATGAATGGTTTCCCTACTATGTAGGGCAGTAAGCATTCTTAGCAACAGAATGATGTGCAGAAAGTTTTATAAAACATAAGGTGCTGATGACAACTATTAATTATGCTGGAATGAATGTGTTTCATATTATTTGACAGTGCCACATTCCCATTAGAACAATGAGTGAATGAATGAATGCAAAAGAACTTTATAAAAAAAAATTCAGATTTTTCATCCAGTCAGTACTGCCATAGTTTTTAATCTTCTTCATACCTTTTCAGAATTTTTTGCCAATTTTATCATGTAAGTGTAGATCCATCATTTCTTAAAAATACTGAATGTGAAATGAAGTAGATGAAAATTCTTTCTTTGCAATTCAATATTAAAAACGTCTTTGTTATGAACTTTACTGTTAGAGAAAGAAAAAAATATAAATTCAAAAATAATTTTAAAACTTTCATTTGAATAGTAATTTCTGCTTGCATTTTAATGTGTTACAATTTGTAACATAAATAGTGCCAATATAAATTAATATGTTCGTTTTTTTTCTAATTTTCTCTTAAAATCACTTTCCTGACATATCTATACTTGTAACTATCATAATATTCAATTATATTATTTTCATTTATTTATTTTTGCTCTATTATCATAAATTCATAGAAAGACATTCCATCATTTATACAAATTCACATATCTTCAAACTAATGTAAAGTAACTATATTCCATTGTGCCCACATGATGTCTTCCACAAAGCAAAGTCCTTGTTATAAATGACCAATATTTATTTTACTTGAAAAAATAAAAAAATGTAATGGTCAAACTTTGTAAATTACAAAAATTGTTTAATAATAATGCTACATTAACAATAGGAATAAATTTTTTTATATATTTATATAATTATTAGCTATTTTAAAATTAATTATTTTATAACTTATTATTCAACTGAATAATAATAGAAATATTCTATTTAGAAATCAGTTTAGCAATTTGTTTTTTATTTATTTTTTTCAGAATTTAATAAAAATCAGATTTTATAATATGTTTAGTAATCTGTAATATATTGTATAATATTCTGCTGTAAATATAACTGATCTTCAAGTGGAATTCTTATGCAAATGAATTAATTAAAAATTTATTTTATTATGTTAATAATATGATTTTTAACCAGAAATGTTTCCTTCTCTCATGTGGGCACATGGATGATCATCACAATCCTAATAAATGATTTTTTATAAATAAAACTATAAACCATTTTTCATGGTTAATTTATTATTAAACTACAAGTTTTTAGTTAACTTCTAAATACATATAATACAAAACTATAAAATTTAATGAATGTAATAATTTAACAATATTCTAAGAATGATTTTAAATTTAAATTTATATCTACTTTTATTAGTAATTAACACTGTGATAGTAAAAAATAAATATTAATATTTGTTTTGTTTAAAATTTTTTGATTTAACAAGCATATGCTGNACAAATTATTGGTGGGGCCTGAGGCCCACAAGCTCAGGTCCATCCAATTCATATCATCAAAAGTTAACATATTTTACAAGATTCATAAAGAATAGTGATTATAATTTTTCTAATTCTTAGAAATATCGAAATTTCTTTTAAAACGTATAAGTAATGCATCTTAAATAAGCCACATATATACATTAAATAATAATCTTGCATATAATTGGTATGTTAATAATGGAAAAGAAAGAAATATCAGTAATTCATGATTTATAACGATTTAACATACTGCATGTGTGCATATGCTCTGTATATCATATACTGTATGAATGGATTCTACAAATGTTATATATCAGTCTTCTTACAAAAATGTTCTAGAAGATTGCAGACATATTGGATATTTATAAAAAGATATTTATAAAAAATATAACTAGTGAAAAATAGTGATAAATGATAATTTTTCTAATCGCATGATGAAATACCATTCAGAAAAGAGCTGTTATGAATTGTGTAATAATTATTACTACGTATTATCTCACTTTGGGATTTAGGAAATGGGCAGGATTCAACTGCACTCCTTCTGAGGGCTTTCCCGAGTAAAGACGGTTACTTCAAGTTGTAAAATATTTTGTAAATCATATTGTTTCCTTTCTTCACCCCTCCTCTAAAGATTTCTGCTATTGATTGTGGAAGATGCTATTGATTGTGGAAGATTTATTGATATATCAGTCATGAGCACCCGCGGCACGCGAGGTCCTAATATGTAGCCTCTGGGATTTTGATAACGTAATTTTATTTTTCTGTTTTCTGTTTCGTATCATTATATAACTCTAATTAGGCTAAACTGATATTCGTGACGAAGAATATTCAAAGCAAACTGGACCAGTGAAAAGATGAGAATAAACTACATACGTACTAAAATAATACATGCTAATGATATGCAAACTATACTAGTTTGCATATCATTAGCATGTACAGTATTATTTTAGTACCGTACCTAGAGTACTGGTGGTAATAGAGTATGTTGGTACTCTACAGGCTTACTCTGCCTTCGTAAGGAAAAAAATATATGCAACCCGCGAGAAGCCCACAATATTTTAACATTTTTGGACTCAGAGGACCTTGAAACGTCGAGAAATGCAAAAAAAAAAAAAATTCGGGTTTTTTTTTCATTGTTTACTGCAAAGTTAGTGTATAGGCATACATTCAAAATAATATAAAGTTAGATAATAAAATGTCTTAAGTAATACTTCATAATTTGCTTTAAAAAATCGGTCATTGAACGAGGATATTAAGGTACAAGTATCACATTTCAGTGTGGGCAGTAGACAAAACAGCATCAAAACTTTATTATAGAACCACGTTTTACATTATTTTAGTTTAAAACATTATATATTCATACCTAAAACATATTTATATGAAAAATTGCAACAGTTGTGTCAATAACTTTCAACGCAGCATATTTATATTTCATGACTGACGTCATTCGTAATAATAATTGAGTTAACGTCATATACAATATAAACGAACAACCTTTACTTTTCATACAATCATTGACGAACGTGTATAAATAAGTAACTGGTATAGATATTATTGAAACTGCTGTATAATATTGATAGATTAATGGTAAACAATTCAATACGAAATTATGTCCTCATAGGATTTTCCGAAATATATTTTTATATCACAAAATAATTTACTAAAACTCGTCAATTGTGTCTAAACAATTAGCGAGGCTATGAAACATTTTTCGGCATTTAAACTGTACAATGACCTTTTTGAATTACTGGAAAAGTTTAATTGAAAATGTAAAGATAATGTCAAGACTGGTTGTTAGTTGAAGTGAAGGATAATCGATTAAAAGAAATAGGAAATACGTTGACCTTACAAATTTATATATGCATTTAAAAACTATGAATATATCTTGTTTCATTATGGTTTTTATCTAATATTTGATCAATCGGCATTGATCTAATTCATCTGAGAGATACGTAAACAAAGGTTACGTATAGGATATTCATATCGTTACACCCGAAAATTATAATAGATACCTGCACATTGCTCAAAATCGCGTGCCTACCGTTCGTGATAGTATATTCGTCTATATTATTTATAGGCCTACCTCATGTTTTCAGTTCACTGAACATAAGTCAGTTAACTTTAAAAAAATATTATATAAATTCGCTTTCAATCGCATTCTTATGCCATAATTCCTAATGTCTGATGATAATTCTTCATAAAAAATGAAACTATTTTATAAGAAAAATAACTGAATTGCACTTCAGTTTTCTACATTTCAATAGTTTTAGAACAATTTGACTGATGTTTCCAGACTAAAAGTACCAAAAATCAGTAATTAAATTAACTTCAACTGAGTTACAGGCTCAGATTCGTTGGTGCCAACTTTTTAAATATGCAAGGTATTGTGAGTGGACTGAAAGTAGAACTAAACTGACAATAAAATTTGAATGAAAAATAAATACAAATCAATCGGAACCGGTGTTAATAATATACATTCGCTTATACGTAGAAATATTTAGATTAAGTCGCGAAATATAATTGCCTAAACACGGAAATATTCTGGTGTTTTAATAACAGCAGTTAGTACGATTTTAAATCGCCACTAAAACAATGTGGTACACTAAAGAAATGTTTCACAAATTAAAATGTACTTGTATAATAACATGTATAGGCCTACCTTTTCTTTTTACTAAACTAAGGTATTAAAACTGTAAGACCATCACTAACGTATTAAAGAAAGATCATTCATTATTAAAGAGCGTGCCGTGTTTCTAACAAGCGAAACACATTTGCAACATGACGCGGAAAAGAAACAAATACAGGAAATCTTAAACCCAGCTGCATTTCTTTCTATAAATTCATCAAACTTCTTCCATGTCCAAATTTTTAGCATAGACCTTGTGCACATTCAAAATACCATGTGATTCAATAAAAAAAAGGCAGGATAATATTATTGAAGTACGCAAATTAGAATAAATTACAAAGCATTGAATCATTCTGTGAGCACAAATTATTGGATGGGGCCTGAGGCCCACAAGCTCAGGTCCATCCAATTCATATCATCAAAAGTTAACATATTTTACAAGATTCATAAAGAATAGTGATTATAATTTTTCTAATTCTTAGAAATATCGAAATTTCTTTTAAAACGTATAAGTAATGCATCTTAAATAAGCCACATATATACATTAAATAATAATCTTGCATATAATTGGTATGTTAATAATGGAAAAGAAAGAAATATCAGTAATTCATGATTTATAACGATTTAACATACTGCATGTGTGCATATGCTCTGTATATCATATACTGTATGAATGGATTCTACAAATGTTATATATCAGTCTTCCTACAAAAATGTTCTAGAAGATTGCAGACATATTGGATATTTATAAAAAATATAACTAGTGAAAAATAGTGATAAATGATAATTTTTCTAATCGCATGATGAAATACCATTCAGAAAAGAGCTGTTATGAATTGTGTAATAATTATTACTACGTATTATCTCACTTTGGGATTTAGGAAATGGGCAGGATTCAACTGCACTCCTTCTGAGGGCTTTCCCGAGTAAAGACGGTTACTTCAAGTTGTAAAATATTTTGTAAATCATATTGTTTCCTTTCTTCACCCCTCCTCTAAAGATTTCTGCTATTGATTGTGGAAGATGCTATTGATTGTGGAAGATTTATTGATATATCAGTCATGAGCACCCGCGGCACGCGAGGTCCTAATATGTAGCCTCTGGGATTTTGATAACGTAATTTTATTTTTCTGTTTTCTGTTTCGTATCATTATATAACTCTAATTAGGCTAAACTGATATTCGTGACGAAGAATATTCAAAGCAAACTGGACCAGTGAAAAGATGAGAATAAACTACATACGTACTAAAATAATACATGCTAATGATATGCAAACTATACTAGTTTGCATATCATTAGCATGTACAGTATTATTTTAGTACCGTACCTAGAGTACTGGTGGTAATAGAGTATGTTGGTACTCTACAGGCTTACTCTGCCTTCGTAAGGAAAAAAATATATGCAACCCGCGAGAAGCCCACAATATTTTAACATTTTTGGACTCAGAGGACCTTGAAACGTCGAGAAATGCAAAAAAAAAAAAAAATCGGGTTTTTTTTTCATTGTTTACTGCAAAGTTAGTGTATAGGCATACATTCAAAATAATAGAATATGTGAGATGACTATGTGTTAAAATGTGATCATCATCGCTATGGTGTCTTTAAATATGATGTCACCAATTTTAGGTGCTTTTTGATTACGTATCCCTCCCTCATGTTTTGTCACCAAGTTTTAGACACCTGCCCTTGCTGATGTTACATTTGATCTGCCATCCCTTACACTAAAATCAAACATTTCTGTAAAGCAGGTTTACAATACATTAATTTATTTATATTTTCCGCAAAGCTATGCTATATTTAAAAACAGGCAATAAAAAATTTATGATTTACTACAGAAGAATTTCATGATCTTGTACTAACTCCTATACTAAATGTGTTAACCTATATATCGTTATCTTTCATGGTGTCTTTATCTGTAATTTGTATCTGTATAAGTTAAATTGTTGCCATTGTCCTTTCATATTATAAATTCTAGAGTGTTTCCTAGTTTGCAGATTTATAGTGTTTCTACTAAATTTAATTAAATAAGCAAGAACTTGCTGTGTGACCATTGATCAAATTACTGTTGCATAATGATTTTGGTAATCAAAGAACTATTTCAAATACAGTAAAATTTCTGTGAATCTTTAAGACATCATCATTCTACAAACACCCCTAACCAGTCATAAAAATATTAAATATTCCTCTTTCTAGTATGGACGTCATATTTGAATGATCCCTATGTATATTCGGATTCGAATCAGATCCAGATCTTCATGAATTATCATGGATAGTCCGTTGTTCTTCGCTAAGTATCTGATTCTATTGATACTTCCAGTTAGATCTTCCATATAATCTTAATATAATGGTGCCTCGCACTGATAAACCAAAAAATTCAAGAAGTGGAAAAAATAAGGAAATATTCTGAAATAGACGAACAAATTATACTTCTATTCCGAATTGAATAAATTAAGATACGCTTATTATATTCAATTTGCGCCAATATTATAACTATATCTATCCATGCATCTAAATTTATTGGCTTCATCTATATTAACGATTTTATCTATACCCAGAACTAATATTATGCAGCTAACATATTCTGTTTCAAATTGAATTCCATTTCAATTTGGAATTCAATTTAAAATATAATATATAAAATATATTATATACAATGCCTCTGTCTTTATGTTCTTTTATTTAGATTACTTTAATAAAATTAATTCATTTCCGGCACAATGAGAATTAAGGTTAAGGAAATTATTTCCATGATGGAAATCTTATCAGAATATTTGTCTTAAGAGTAGTTTGTATTAACTAAAACTGGATTTAATTTGCCATTTGGAACTTATTACAAATCTGTAATATTCTGTGATAATTTCGAAGATAACGATGCTGTGATTTGTAATGATCATTTATAATGGAGATTTTATTTGGATAATGTACTGCCGAATTTAATGACCTTTTAATAATGTTGCTGAATACAGAGCCATTTTTTGCTTGTTAAATTTATTTTATAATTGAAGAGAATTATATAATTTCATAATTACATAATTCTCTTATTTACAGTCACATTTCTCAAATGGCTAATTTTGGAAATATTTAGATATATTTTTTCCTAGGAAAACACTCGAAATTTTAATTATGAATGTTCTTCGTGTGGTTAAGTCTATTAATAAAAAGAAGAATAAAATGTAATTTGTTATTATATAAAATGCAAATATGTCAAATTGCCAATTATAATCATTAAACTTTTTGTTAGTTGGAAACATATAAAGTTGCAAAATATAAGTAAAAAAATTAACTTATATTACCTTCATGTCAAAATATACAATAAACGAATGATTGTTTAGTTTAAAATTCAACAATAATCTTCCCAAAATTCAACAGGATGCTGGAATGGCATTGAAGAAGACATTGAACACATTTCTTTAAAACTTAATGGAACAAATGCCTTATTCTTTTATAATTATAACTTAAATTTTGATACATACTTACAAAGCAATAAAGCAAAAAGAACGTGTTTTATTAATAAAATTCTATTAATTAAGTCACTTAATTAAATTTCAATTTTACACCAAAATTTGATTCATACATAAATATTGTATTTATAATTTTTATATAATATATTAGGCTATATTACGATTAACATATTTTTAAATAAAATTTTTTTAAAAATACAAGATTAAATTTTAAAATATTTATGTTAGGAAATTTTTGAAAATATTTTCATGTCACTTATGTTGCATAATAGAGACACGAGTTAACTTGTGTCTCTATGACAAATGTCGCAATGAATAATGCTGATTTGTAATCTTTTATTTCTAAATTAAAATTAAAAAGTATGTTTAAAATATACTGTATTATATAACGTTATATTTTCATCTGAAGAACATGGAATTTGTTCACAAAAAAAAAATAATAATAGAAATATTATTATTATTATGAGCATCTTCAATTTATACTGTAATCCAAGAGAAATATTAAAATAAACACATTAGACATAATTAGTTCATAACATAATTAGAAAAATTACAATTAAAATAAAAAATACGCTTGCTTTTGCATATTTTACGTATTAGCAATGGTTAACATCTTATAGCATTTATTTTAAAAAGTATCTTGGAGATACATTTAAATATATAAAAGTATCGTGCAAGGTCATGGGTTTTGAGGGTTTAACCCCTCCCATTTAGAAAGAATTGGAGTATGTTAATAAAACAGAATATTGTGTATAAGTTAAATATAAATTAATATAATTAAAATAAATATATTTTGTACCCAACTCCTCTTAAGTCTAATGTATTGTGTTACTCTATATATATATGTAGATTCTCTCATATTTATGAATGTATTAATGAATTATTGTGAAAACCTGCAAGTGTATAGCAGGTTGTCTAGACTTGAAGCATAAATCAATTTTTTTTTCTGTTTTTTTATATAAATAAATAATTTCGAATATCAAAATTATTATTATTTTACTTCTCAAATTATTTTAAAAAGTTCACAAGAAAAATGTAATGTTTATTCAGATATACTGTGTATATTGGGTTAAAACAATAATCTGATATTATTTCACTTCATCGTTTACATTTATTTTAAATGGGTTAGTTATTGATAATTCTGTTTTTATTTAGTCCGTAATACTTTTCATCAATTTCTCTTCTCAGTTTATAATATTTAGAAGGAGTAATAATACTTAATCTTGTTTCCTCTTTATAATGCTTACAGCATCTGCAGCATATGTCACAGAATTTTAAATTTTTTTTACTACGATTACTTTTATCATATGCAGCAACATTCGAAGAATCATTATTTACAACCAAATCTTTTTTTTTATTTTTTGTGCGACCATAACATCCACTAGATTTATCATTTGAAGATTCATAATATACAAATAAAGCTTCCTCCTGTTGTTTTACGGATTGATCGGAAGATTTGTCATAACAATAAGAACTGACAGATAAATCAGTCATTTTCTTTCGACCACAGCAATCAGTAGATTTATCATTCAAAGAATCAGGACTTGATGGTACATTTTCTTTTTTATTTTTAGAATAACAGCAGCATCCATTCGAAGAGTTTGAATGTTCAGGTGAATGTACTTTATTTGATTTCGTACGACCATAGAATCCTTTGGATCTGCAATTGACAGAATCGGAACGTACAGTTATATCTTTTTTTCCATTCAGTTAATTAAAAATTCCATATTGCATTTTCATTTATAACTTTTTATATAAAATTTATTAGGAAAACTCACCTATCTGATTTAGTCTTACGTAAGCAGCAGCCCATATTTCAGTTTAATTAATTAATAACGAACAATAAAAATGTTAGAATAATTATTTCAAACAATAAAAATATCAAGATTATTGCGAAAAAATTTCATTTTAACGCTAAACTATGCAGCTTTGTAGTATATATTTTTATCTTATCAACGGAAAGATTGGGAATGATTCTTGTAAATATTAAATTCCGCGACTTCCTTCCATTGAGTTCACCTTTTTCTTGTCTCTCAATCTGTGAGGTAACATTTAATGTGATTTAAATAGATTTATAGCCTACATTTTTTTGGCTCATGTAGGGTTTAGATCTATATTTAGATATTCATGTGAATAGACCTTAAGTAGCTTCATTTTGAATCAGAATAAATTACGGGATCAAATTGTCAATATATAACAATTTGGCAAAATAAATATAGTTCGTTTGTTGATAAAAATAATAAAAAATTTGTAACGAAAGTATCAGATGATGCTATTTATTTATAATTTTGATTTATTAATAGTCTCGATCGTTGACGTCAGCGCAATTAAAACGCGGTATTTTCCTTCTTTAACAAAAAACAAACTGTTATGACGTTACGGAAGCTATTTATAAACATTCTATATTTCTTTACCAAGAAATATATAAAACAAATACTATATACTGACACTTCGTAGAGGATTTAATCATATCCAGAACAATATTAAAGAGCTTTTGTTTGCTCTTTTTTGAATATGCGTACTAGAAAATCTGTTGTGTTTTTTCCTTTGCCAAAATAAACATTTAGTTTTCGAAATTCCAAAATGATTTGACTTTATGGATAATTATTTTTAGAAAATTCCTCTGTGAAGTTTGAACAGTATCCAGTTAGGTTTTTTCCAATAGAATATCGTATGTTTGACTAATAATGGAGTAAATTGGGACATTTACAGAACTACTTTTCCTTATACTTAAGTTATATAATAACTTAACTGGTTTACTTTCATTGTCTTCAGCAGCCTGCTTTGGGAAATGAAACGGATAGTTTGATCTCCATACTGGAATTGCAACAGCATGCATTATAAAAGAGAAGGGAAAATAGTTTTGCTGTGAACTTATTCCTGTAGTGACCTTGTGCTGTCAGTGATTTTTACACTGTAAAGAATTTGGAGTCATGTCAATGTAAATAGATTTTATCCGCATCGTTTAACAACAAACATCAGTTTTTTGAGTTCGTGAGCAAATTAAATCTTTTATCCGTAACTGCGTCTTACATATGTAGATTTTTTAAAATAAAAATTAAACATTTCAATCATCCTACTTTTGCTTTGTCCCGTTTGTCTTCATCATCAAATATTTATTTCTTTTTATAATAAGCAAACACTCCTCGAGTTTCTTATTATCTTCTATCTTAAAAATATTCTAGAAAAATTCATTAGGCGATTGATCTAAATAGCAATTGACCTCCAAAATTTTATAGTATTATTATAAACTTTACAGATCTGGATCTTAGATCAGTATTATTATAAACTTTACACGTCTGGATCGATTTCTAGGCTTTTTCTCACACATAAAACTTTCGTAAGCATTTTTTTTTTTTATATAAATAAGAGATAATTTTTATAGCCACTTCCAAGAATTACTTCCCAGATGCAATGTGACGTCATTAATAAGCATATGATTTCATTACATATTCGGTACGTTTATAAGATGAATGACCTTTCTTGTCATAAAAATCGCAAATACATATTCTACAAATGATCTATTATTTTAAATTTCATCAAAGATTTCCATTAACTTTTTTTCTTTTTATGAGCGATAGACCTAATTTATCATAATCGTTTTTTAAAATCGAATCTTTGTGGCACGCTAATTTATAATAATAATAAAAAAAATACCATTTTTGTACGCATAACTACGTAAGAATACGTTCAATTTTACGTCATAGAAATGGAAAGTCGGTTTTTAGAGTAGAGCTACATGATTAATCTTTTCATAAAACTCATTAAATATTTTTATTATAACAAATTACTTAACATGTGTTGTGATATTTTATATGTAATTTAAACATATCAAGTTTCAATCTTCACATTTCTACTTTAGATACTATTTAGTTACTATTTTGCCATTCAACAATTCTCTTTATATATATATATATATATATTATATACAAAACTTTTTATAAGAATCATCGTATAATTTATTTTTTTATATAAATAGCATTTTTTAATGAACATGACAAATTATTTTCAAAACAGTTTCCCACGTGTTTTCTCCACATGAATTATTCCACTCTTTATATAGGTACAGGTAATTATTTCGCAAGTTTCTTCTAGAATTAATTTATTTTGAAAACTCAAAATATATTTATACAAATATTTTATCGGGTAAAAAAAAATTTATATATAATTTTTTTGGAATATCATTTTAAACAAGTTTTAAATATTAGTGCAAACCCATTCTCTTAGGTCATTTCAATTATTTTCTTTTGAACTAAACCGTGCCGCGAATATTAGCTTGGGGCATATTCCAAAAACTAATTCTTAGAACATAACCTTTTCAATTTTATATACGTATTTATATATAACATATTGTAGTTTTACTGGTTTCAAAAGATTAGTTTACTACAGAACAACTTTTTTCTTTAGTCGACCCGACTCAAAATGCACCTGTCTTAATTTTACTTATAAATAATAGTCTACACTGTCATTAAATAATAACTAATCACTTAATAAATATGTCAGTAAGAAAAAGTTTAATATGTAACATTGCATTTTAACACATTTTTTTTTTCCTTGAAGATACTGATCCTGATATCTTTAGTGCAATGTTAGTAAGTTATTTTCAAAGGGATTAAAGATTTTAAATTTGAAAAATCATTCGTGAAAGCGTGGAAAATATATTTAAACAAACATACAGCATGATGTATCACATATGCATGCTTATTTTGTATTCAATGTCACTAATCATCACTGTTGTATGGCAACGGTGATTAAAAAGAATGACATTTGTTTCTCTCTATATTTCCTTTGAGTCAAAATAAAAAAAATTAATTATATAATACACAAGCTGAAATTTCAGGGAAAACAACCATCTGTTGCATACTAATTCCTATAGTGGTTGTGACGCGAAAAATCGATCGTGCTCAGCAGGAAAACTAAACATTACACGCGATATATATATACACAACCTTGTAAAAACGTATTGCGTGTCTGAGTAAAATTGTTATCATTTTTTTTTTTAGCTGTATATTTATATTCGATAGCTCGAACGAGAAGGCGAATATATCAGTTAAAGGTTTCCGGCCTGTTTTATGTTTGGAAAATTACTGCCCTAGGGTGGAAAACTTACGTCATCAGCAGAGTGCACAAGTCCAGTCCACAATTCAAGGTCGGGTACGGCGTGCTTGCAAAAGTAAAGATGGGATTAGAAAATGAACTTTGTAAACGAATATCGGTAGAAAACTTTATCAAATGTATATATTAAAGATGTGATCATCATCACTATGCTTTTCTCTATTAAAATATTCAATATTTGTCTTATTATTATGATATAACAATTTCCTTGGTTTTTTTGTATGAATTTAAATCAGTCTAAATTATAAGTAAAAAAATTAAAATATCTGGTTAAAAAAACATCACATTTTATGACAACAAATATTTTTATTTGCTTATAATTAAACTTATTTCGATTCAACAATATTTATGTCCAAGACATATGGTTCAAATACAATTGTTTTCTTTACAAAAAATGACTAATTATATCACTAACAGGGAATAAAATTTATAAAATATCAATCATGCAGACTAGTACGAGCATGCTTTAAAATAATCTAAGAAATCTTTAAGCATCTGATGCTTGATACTATTCAAACTCATAGGTACAAATATTTGTACATTTAATGAAAAATGAAAACATCATCATCACCTTTATTATAAATAAAAAGGTGTGTTTTTCCGTTTTAAATCACAATGATTACTTGACATCTCATGCTTATAGCAGGTACATTTTAAAATGCTCACAAAATAAAGATGCAGTTGTATACACTGTGGGATGGACCTTGAGCTGTCATGTGATGAAACTGAATGAAACTGTTGGATGAATTGTAAAGTTGTAGACATCGCCATCAAGAAAATAAAACGTTAGAAATCACAACAGAAGTTATTGACAAAGTGCCAGAATGTTAAATATTGGTTATTTACCATCCTATAGGCTTGGTTGAGCCCTCTGAAGCCTTGGTGATTGTCTGTTATAAGTTGGAGTAGCTGGTGGTGATCTAGCAGTTGGAGAACCAGGGGAATTCAAAACAGCAGTTAAACTATTAACCAGCAAGTTATGCCCTGTATGATGATCTGTTGCAAGTGTTTTCATGACACTTAGTGTTGTAGCAGCCTAAAAATAAATTTATATCAGAATTATTTTTAAACGTAATAACAATTTAGTACTATTCTTAGTACTAATTTAGTTCTTTGAAACCTTTTAAAATTATTCTGTGTGTATAAAACAAATTAAACTGACAATTAGATTATAATAAAAAGTATTCTCTCTTTAATATCATATCATTTAATAATATATAAAATATAATTTATAAAATAGTTAAAGGAATACCATAAGTTAATCATATAAGATAAAAATTCTGACCTAAATTTTGGAAATCTAATCAAAACACAATGTCAATAAAGATATTGTTGCTATAATCACATTAGTTTATTATGAAATATTAAAATTATTAACTATGAAAATTAATCTATAATAACCAATAAACATAGATATTTTCCTATTTAATTATTATAGAACAGATTAGTTATGAACTAAAAACTGATCTATTTTTGGCATCAGACTCAGTGTTGAATAATTTAGAAATAAAATCTTTAAATACTTAAATGATATCCTTAAATTACCATTTACCTAGAAGAGTTACACTTAAATATTAATAAGCTTATCTTAAAACCATCTTATTATTTAAGTTTTATTCTAAGATGTATTACCAGTTTTTTTTAATACTGATAAATTTCAAAACCTAACTACCATTGTTTTTATGAATATCAATAATTCAGGTTGAAAAATAACATATATATAATAATTATAATTATATCAAATATTAATTTACATGCACTAATAATTAATAACTGCTTTTGATCAAAATTTTTATTATTATTATTTATTTATTTATAATTTATTTTTAGAACATTGTTTATTAAATTTATATTTCTTAATTCATAATGTTCTATTTTAATATGAGCTATGATTAAGTCATCATTTTATTGTTTATCTATTAAGAAAAAATTTAAATAGTAGTAAATACGGTAAACAGATTTAAATCAATAAATCATTAATAATTTAAATGTGCTACTTAATACAGTACTAAAATGATTTTAACAAAGAACCACTTAAGAAAGAAAGTAAAAAATATAAATTAGTACTTGAAAGTAAATAATATATTAATAATATTTATTAAAAGAAAGAATGGAAATATTTAATTTTTTGATAAGAAGGATGAACTAGCCACTAAGTTATTCTGCTAAATTAAGAAATTGCACCTTTAATAATGGGAGAGTTTAAAGAATTCAACCCAGTTAACAAATAAACAGATGAGATATAAGGGTGTTTGTAAGTTTTAATATAAATTATAAATTAAATGTAAATTCAATTTGATATTTGTATAAACTTATTTATGATAAACAGAAAAAAAATCACATACTAATTAAGTATTTTTCAAGGACATTTTGTCTGTTTATTATACTGAATAAAATCACAAAGTCAAGATCAGATAATAAAATAATTTCTAATATAAATAAAATGAAAATATATGCTATAATTTAGTAGAATAAACAGTAGTTGTAGAAATATACATTAAAAAATAAATGTTTCTTGTGAGCAAATTGTCTTGTTTCTTTATTTAACGTTTATATGCATTCACTACAGGAACAAACTTATCTTAAATGAGTCATGTATTTTTAGTAAATGTATACAGTATGTATTTAAAAAATTACCAGTACTCAGTAGAATTCAACAAATATCTTACATAACTTTTATCCAAAATACATTATTATTGTTATTAAAAATCATTCATTATTATTGTAAAATTAAAACATAAATAAAATAACTTAAGTTATCATAAATCCAAATGATCAAATTCATTATAATTTTAAACTAACAATATTAATAATTTGTAAAGCCATTGAGTGATACTTAACATAACAACAACAATAATAGAGTTCAAGACTAATTTTGTATTTTTAAAGAGCAAATCTCAAATAACAATTTAATGCAACTCTATTTATAACTTAAAAATAAAAAAAATAACTTTGCTATAATAATATTGAAATGTATATTTATATGCCATCTTAAACATAATTAAAGATATTAAAGAATTTAATTAATCCTTNTTAATTTTTTGATAAGAAGGATGAACTAGCCACTAAGTTATTCTGCTAAATTAAGAAATTGCACCTTTAATAATGGGAGAGTTTAAAGAATTCAACCCAGTTAACAAATAAACAGATGAGATATAAGGGTGTTTGTAAGTTTTAATATAAATTATAAATTAAATGTAAATTCAATTTGATATTTGTATAAACTTATTTATGATAAACAGAAAAAAAATCACATACTAATTAAGAATTTTTCAAGGACATTTTGTCTGTTTATTATACTGAATAAAATCACAAAGTCAAGATCAGATAATAAAATAATTTCTAATATAAATAAAATGAAAATATATGCTATAATTTAGTAGAATAAACAGTAGTTGTAGAAATATACATTAAAAAATAAATGTTTCTTGTGAGCAAATTGTCTTGTTTCTTTATTTAACGTTTATATGCATTCACTACAGGAACAAACTTATCTTAAATGAGTCATGTATTTTTAGTAAATGTATACAGTATGTATTTAAAAAATTACCAGTACTCAGTAGAATTCAACAAATATCTTACATAACTTTTATCCAAAATACATTATTATTGTTATTAAAAATCATTCATTATTATTGTAAAATTAAAACATAAATAAAATAACTTAAGTTATCATAAATCCAAATGATCAAATTCATTATAATTTTAAACTAACAATATTAATAATTTGTAAAGCCATTGAGTGATACTTAACATAACAACAACAATAATAGAGTTCAAGACTAATTTTGTATTTTTAAAGAGCAAATCTCAAATAACAATTTAATGCAACTCTATTTATAACTTAAAAATAAAAAAAATAACTTTGCTATAATAATATTGAAATGTATATTTATATGCCATCTTAAACATAATTAAAGATATTAAAGAATTTAATTAATCCTTATATAAAAGTTCTTTAATTATTCATATCATGATATTAAATTGACTACATTTGCAATTTAAATAAGCTTTATATAACTAAATAAATATTAATCATCTAATATTTATATCTCATCCTTTAAATTTAATTTTAACATTTATGTAAAATTACTTTTGTATTAAATTTTAATATCTTTTAACAAATGTGCAAATAAAATTCCAACAATATATTTATTAATAAAACTTAACTAAATATTTACTTACATCAATATTTTACATCATTAAATGATATTTATTAATCTCATATATATGAAATATATTGGCCTTTAAAATATCAAATGATTTTGTTAATTTGTAATTTTAACTCAGCTTTTTCACTCAATAACAATTCACATATAAGTTTTCTAATTAAATTCATATCACTTTTATAATTACTTTTAAATTTTTCACATTTTTAATTGATAAATCTGCATTTTTCTATTAATCTATTAAAACCAGAAATTTAAGCTGATTAAAAAGTAATTAATAGCACTAAATTCTTATCAGTATCACACACACATACATACATACATACAATGTATACCATATATAATTATATTTATTTTCCACAAATATAATCTGAACTATTACAGTATCACTAAAAGAGTTAAATACAATGCACTTGTAATCAATGAATTAAATGAAGAGTGAACAAGGTTCATAGCAGATTTGGGTAAAGATAATCATAAGCAAACAAGCTGATTATAAAACCAGAAAAAATTAAATAGAGTTGTAGAACTACTTGACTGATGTATCCTTCAAATTATCAGTTTAAATGTCCACTCATTAGATAAGTTATCAAGATGATTTTACTGTTTTTTGTAGAGTTTTTGTAAACAGTGTATTATTACTCAAACAATAAATAATAATAATAATACAGTTGAAAAAAAACAAATAAATAAATTTTAAAACTTTATTCTCCTTTTAAAATTTAATCAAACTGCATAATTGAATTGTTTTGGTCGGATATTCAAATATTGCTCAATGATGGATACCCAAACCATTATTGAATATGTCCAATGCATATTTGTCTTGTAAATTGTCAAGATGGTGACATTTGTAAAGAGATGTACAATTGTGCTATTTAAGCTGTTTTAAATGTCTTTTCTTTCTAATAAATTTTTAAAAACATTCAATATGATGATATGACTTGTAATAAGAAGACATGAGTATCACTTTAATTCATTTTATTTTATTTTGTATGATTACTTTTTATGTTACAAAATGTAACTTATACATTAATAAAAGACAATCTGACAGGTATTGTATTTTTATTTAATTATATCAGATATTTAGTATAGAATATGTTTTCTGTTTTATTTTTATTTCAGTTCTTTGCCCTCAAAATGATTTTGCTTGTTAANATATTGCATTATTTATTAATATTTGTTAAAAATAATTTCAAATGAGCATTTGTAGAAATGTGTGTAAATAAAATATATTATTGAAAACATTTTTGGTGGAAAAATATATTAAAATTATATAAAATATATTTTTATTTTTTATGATTAAATTATCTTTATGTATTTAATGTGCATTATGCTTTAAAATTATAAAAATTAATTTAATTAGCATTATCCCATCCAATTCCTGTCTTACATAATCAATTCCTTAGGTCAAAAACATTCATTTATATTTAAATTTAATTATAAAATTGTTTAATTTAATACTGAAGAATTAATTTTGTTAAATAAGTTAATTCTGTTTATAGTGGAAAATTGTATGATTTTTATTTCTTGACTTGAAAATTAGTTAGAAATTATTAGCTGTATTATATAATTTTTTTTAAGTAAAAAGCATACCAATTTTCATAATACAATAAGTTTATGTATTAATTAAAAAAAATAAATTACATGAAATGAAATGCATTTATTCATTATTTTTATTGTATTAGTTATTTGTCAGTATTTATAATATATAAAATATGCAAAAAAACAAATAACAAAACTAATTGGAGTTTAATTTATGTATATTATTTATATTGATATTTCAAGTGTATTTATTATATTAATGTGTTATAAAAATTGAATAACTACTAACTGAATAACTAATTGAATATTGAATAATTGAAAATTG